AACCTAAGTAAAATATCAAGAAAAAGGAAAATTTTGTTAGAAACAAAGAAAAGAGTACAGAGCTGTTATATAATATCAGTCCCTCTATATGACAGTGAAAGCTGGACAATCTTCTCAAAAATGAAGAGACTTGAAGTAACAGAAGTGTAGTTTTACAGAAAGATGCTGAGAATACCACAGAACAAACATGTTAGCAACAACAAAGTTTTTAGAGAAAATGGAAATAAAAAAAAGGACAGTTATACTTAACACCAGGAAGAGACAGTTGAAATTTCTAGGGCACATAATGAGGGATGATGCCTTGGAAAATTTTTATACTTATGGGACAGATTGAAGGCAAGTGGAACAGAGGAAAACAATACATAACCTACTTAGCGGGCTTCAGTAAATGAATGACAGAGCAGGGTTCAGGAGAGTAGAAGATTTATAACTGATAATAATTAAAAAGATGCCTTCAAGCTAAGCAAAGTATTAAGAAACAGGAAAAGTTTTTTAGAAACAAAATAGTACTGAACGATTACACTTGTACATTTTCAACTTTAAGACTAAAATATTGTAATTGGATTATGTGTCTGACAATTTTTGAGAGTGAGATACAAGAAAATTCCTATAGTCAAAAAGTTTCACTTAGTGGACTAAAGAAACCTATTTTCCTGAAAAACTGTTTTAAGAGAAAAATTTTATAACCTTTACCGATGGTAACACTGGCCACTTGCTTAATGAATGCCAAATGTTTCCCTATAAGGAAACTGCTAATATTACCATTTGTACTTTCGTTTTGAAGACACAGATACAAAGTTCTGTGTTAAAAAATTAAAAACTTGTCAGAGACAATTTTATAAAAACAGAATAATGTAAATATAAAGTTAGATTTTTACCTGGCCTCTGAAGGACTCTTTGAAAAAATTGACCCAGACATAGAGAGATAATCTCCAGAATATCTGCTATTAAGTTTTTTACCATCAATTTCACCTAAAACAAAACAGAAAAAAAAAAATATTTGTTAAAAAAATAAGAAAAAATGTATAGGCATAAAAAAAAAAAAACAAACAAAAAAGAAAGCAGATAAATATTATACTCCGATAATCTAGTCAATAATCTAAATATATAATAATACAACTGAGAAAATACATGAAAATTACACTAATTTTATGTGATTTTTCAGGTTAGCAGAACTTCTGCAACCAAATTGTTTAATAGATAACTAGTTATAATATTCAATAAATTAAGTTTAAGTGACATATTTGGTTATCTACAAAGAGTATAAATATGAGATCTGATAAGTTCAATAAATCTATCAAGCATCTGGCCCTGATGAGTATCTTGATGTGAAATTCTTCAGTCAGCTAAACAGATAATTGACTCAAACTTTTAATTTATTGAACACACACATATATATATATATATATATATATATATATATATATATATATATATATATATATACACATATACCCTGATGAGTGGCCGGCACGGCTGGAGGGTCCATTTACAAAACCCTAGAGTCAGGATGCTGAAGATAACAAATTTAGTGACAAATTTTATATTAATCCTATATATTTTAATCTTTATGAGTAAGCACTGAAAAGTTCTTGGCTTGACCCACTTCCCAAAAGACACAATTTTTTTTTTTTTGTTTTTTTAAAAAAAAATTTTCTTTCTTGGTTGAGCCTACAAATTTTCAGCACTTTATACCCTGTAAAGAAAACCTTGAAATGAAATAGCATTATACAAATTCATAAAAGCTAACAAGAAAATAAAATAAATTAGTGACAAACTTCTAAGCAAAAATTACAAAAGATCTTTGATGAATTTCCACACAGAGCATATTTCCCACACGATGCACATTTGTATAAATAAAAAAATGTTCCTCATCAAATGCAAAGTGATTATGATGAAGAAGCCTGTCTAGTAAATAACGCACAAAATTGAACACCTATTAGAATTGGATAAATTGCCATGCATTATAGTTTTAGGCCTGCAAATATGGTAATTTGGGAGCGAAATAAATCAAATTACTATATAACTTAAGTTACAATAATTACTTTCAGGAAGGAAGGTACTCATGTATGGTGAAAACTATAGCCTAATGTTTAGGGGGAGGACAACTCTGAATTCAAAACCATGGAGAAGGCAAGAGGAAAACTAGGCTTAATGTGTTATGGAGAAAAATAAAGAATTAAGATGAAAGCAAACTACTAAAGTAAAATTCAAAATGAACAAAAGGTTATGATAATTAGCTTAGAATAAAGTGAGGTTAGATATGACAAAAATTCTTTTTTGAATTAAAATGATATTATAGACAAGGTTTTTCTTCAACAAGAAATGAGGACACAAAGGTGTAAACCAGTAGATAAAACCCGAATATAAAAACCACCAGACATTACTGAAGTAAATTATACAACAAATAATGAATAACCTAGTACTAATAGCTACTCTCTGCTTACTTTTTTTTTTTTTTGCTTACATGGTAAGCTCACTTGTTTAACATGACAATGATAGAAACAATTCAGCTGTTCTTTTCTAAACTATCATTGTTTAGTTTATAAATATTGCATGCCTAACAGCCCCCCCCCCAAAAAAAAACGAAAACTTCAAAACTGATATTATATTTCAGAGACAATACAATGGAATAATGAGAAATCAAAAATGTATCTGAAATCATGTTGAGAATTACATTCAAGAAATTTGAAATAGATCAAAATTTTCAATATTGATGATTAGCAAAATTAGAATAATGTTAAATTCTATAGTGAAATAAAATTTTTTAGAGGAAAGATGAGATTTTATGAGTGAAAATAGCAGTTCAAAGCAGTAGGATTTAAAAATCTATTGAAAATTTTTATGAAAGTAAAACATGTAATAAAAATATTTTTTTTTCAAATAAAAATAAATATCTGCAGCCCACAATGCTTATATGAAAAAGAAACATGCATAGAATATACTTTCAAAAACCTCCAATACCCACATTATTCCATCCACAATGCTGAGAGAAAGGCATACAAAATATACAACTGTAAAAAAGATAACATTATTAACGACAATGACTATAAACTAGATAAAAAGAGACTACCTACTAACCCCTTAACATCTACTATCCAAAACAATTTATCCAACCTTAACATCAAAATAATTACAAGCTCTCATTTAAAAATATCATGGATATAATCAGAACATTATATATATATATATATATATATATATATATATATATATATATAAAAAGGGTGTTTCAATAACTTGGACCAATTTTAAATGTGAATTAAGTGTCTAATAATTTTTTTCTTTTTCTTTCAGGTTTAACAACTTAAGTCTTTGGCAATTTCAACCATGGAGAGATTAACATGTTAAAATTATCAAAGCCTATTATGAAAATAGATGTTCAAACAGAAATGGATCTCACACACTTCGCAATTTTTTTTGGTTAACATAATTGACCAACCAAGAGTGCAATTGGAAATGCAACATCGTTGTGGAGAGTTTCAATTCCTGGGCACAATGACAAATAGAGGTGTCTGGATTTTCGGCCACATTTTTTCAATGCAATGTTTTCAGCTGAACAGCGAAACAAGCATGCAATGGTGTTTTCACATCTGCCACCAACCCAGTTTGTTTGTTATTTACAAACAATTTTTTAAATTGCACTCTTAAAACTTTAACATTTTGTTTTATTATTAATCTTTCCATGGTTGAAATTCCTAAAAACTTAAGTTGTTAAATCTGAAAGAAAAAGATCATTAGATACTTAAACTTAGCTCACATTTAAAATCAGTCCAAGTTATTGAACACCCTTTATATATATCACGAAAGGATAAAAGATCCTATAAAAATCTTAATATGTTATTTAACAAATATGAAAAAGTTTTGTTTACAAGTTTTAATACTGTCAAGATCCTCATGAAAAACTTGTTTCTGCTCTCCAACAAGTTGTGTAATAAGTTTGCATTGTTATTAAATATTTTTTAGGATCAAAATTAAAAAGAAATAAGAGATAAGTGTAGAATACAAATCTGGTAACTAATTGAGAAGAATCAATAAGCTGAAAGAAGAAAACAAAAAGAGGCAACAGTAACAAATTTTCAATAATTTTGAAAGCAAAATTAAATAAAAATTTTACCCACCATAACGTTTTTTTCTTTTTAATTTCTGGCCTCCAAAAAATAAAATAAAAGAGAGACCCAAATCTTGAGATTTCACATTTTTCTAAAAAATATATTTTGTTTTGTGTAATAGTTATTTGACTTGGCATAAAAGTCATTGTAACAGCAGGAGACACCTGTGTCCACCTGTCAAGATTTCAATGTCACCCTTCCTATTACTACTACCTTATAGCAGCAGGTTCAAAATTGTTGTAACTAAAATCAATGTTGTATTGATTATGACTTATCCACAAAATACTGTGTCAAACATCTGTCAAAGAGGTATAAAAAAAAAAAACAACATTGCACTGGAGACAAGTACAATGTATGATTGTTTGATAAATACAAATTCCTGGTAAAAAGCAAACTTTTTTTTAAAGAATCATTTAACACCAAAGTGCCTGAAACTGCCAATGTCATCTTTTAAAAAACTGATCATGTAACATTATATCATATATAGGAGTTATTAAAAAAAAAAAAAAAAAAATACATCAAACTTTCTTTCATTCTATTAATTACATAAATAATAACACAATAAATACAAAGGTCTGACCCACTTTCTAAAATCTGACCAAATATCAGAATTTGTTTTGAATTTCTTCTTGGGAATGTTTCAATGCACCATTTTAGTAAAAGCAAATATAAAACTTTGGTTAAGTTTAACATTTGTATTCACAATTAAAGAAACAAAAGAAACGACATGTCAAAAAGGATGTTTTTTTTTTCTCGTGACATTTATTACTGTATACTCCCTCTGCAATTTTTATTGTTTTAAAAAAGCTATTTTTGGAATTTTAAACCCTAAATTGGATTTATGCAATCTCTTTCTCTCTCACACACAAACACATTATATATTGGTGGGGGGCAACTTTTAAACTTTACCAAAAATTTGTTAGAATTGATTTGACTATAGAAATGCATTGAAAATTATTCTAATATTAGCTCTTTAAGTAATCTCTCATATCATTGGTAAGATTTATTAAAAAACCTTTTAATAATTACATATTTGAGGAGATGAATTCTGGCAATATAGATAAAATAATTAAAATAAAATCATTATAGTTGTATTTTAGCTTTAGAAGCAGCTTCTGTTGAATCAAGTTAAAGATGTTGCCAAGTGAATTGGACTGTACATCAATTGTACCAAAACTGAGTACATGCTGTACAGCCAAGAAAGAGCCGACACAATCACTGTTGAAGTTAACACCCTCAAGCAAATAGAAGATTTTCTGCATTTTTGGTTCCGGGATCAACCCATGTAACAAGGACAGAGATGTAAAAATTGCTTAAACAGCTCTACAAAAATAATTAGAAACAATATGGAAATCAAGTCTATCATCAGAAATAAAAATTGAATTCTACAGAGCAATAGTGGAAACAGTCTTGTACATCTTTGGTGCATCAACTCTAATTAAGGCAAGAAACTTGATGTTTTTTTTATAGATTTTATAGCTTAACCTTTTTTCAGATTATTTAAAGTCAGAAAGTATTTTTACAGTGTAAGAAAATTTCATAATGATTCACACTGATAAAAGTCCTGGAGGGAGAAATATAAATATAAAACTTTCCCAAGGGTATTTGTATGTACGTCAATATAATGAATTTGAATGGAATTGGAACTAAACTCTCTATTGTCCATTACATGACCCACACATCCAATCTTACATCACCTGATATTCTCAAGCAGTCACCCATCTAGGTACTGACTAGGCTCGACATTGCTTAATGTTCTCATATGAGAACCAGTGTTTTATGTGATATGGTCATAATCTGGTATATAGAGGATGAGTGTGGTGAAAAATATCAGAGAAAACATGACTAACCAAGTGTTCTGTGGTGTCTTACCAAAGCTGACAGTTACAATCGTTAAGAGTAGAGTAAAATTCAGTAGACATTGTGTGGAGAAGCAAGAATGAAACCATTCACAAAGTTTTATTTTGGGGAAGCAATGCAAGGAAAATCATCTTGTGGGAAATCAGCAGATAACAACTTATTAAAAGGCATAACTACAAATTACAATGGAAGACAGTAATGTATAGAGAAGACTGTATGTCCAACTGCAATCAATTTGATGATTAGGATGTATTTTAGCACATTATTATTATCACCACTATACCATCAACAATGCTAACACCACTGAGTTAGTACACTTTGACCAACACAGTAGGTATCGTTAAATCGGAAATAAGTTGCCACTAAAAAGTAACAATAGGATAGAGTAAATAATAACACTGGAAGAATCATGTTATTAACAAACACATTGACAATCAAAGGGACATAACTCTTATTTGATATTTTGTATATTGAAATATAAGCTTACGTTTTTTTCTTCAGCAAAAATTTTCAGATAATCATTCAGTTCTCACCAGATAGAAATAACTAAATTTGAATGATTGATTGAAAACAAAAAAGATTGATCATTTTATCAAAATATGCATGCATTTTAGGTACTTTCTGAGTATATTCTATTTAATACTTAATCTTCTGAAATGATACACTTAATTGTTACACTTGGCTCACAAGGTTGAATTTGTCACACATTCTTGATACTGTGTTTTAATGCTGTTTCTCATATGTGATCTTGTACTATTTTGTAGTCAAGATATGACATGCAATTCAGTGTTACTCTTGTAATTTCTTTTTTATATATACTTTTGACTGTGATAGAAAATTATCAGAACCCAATCCTCTAACATTTCTGCCATTCTTAAAGTGTTATATCTCTTACATTGTGTACCTTCATTGTGTAATAAGTAATCTCAAGGCCATTAATAATGGCAGGTACAGATGATTTAGTTCTGCCAAGAATCTTGTTAGGGATTTTTCCAGAACTCATGAAAACTAAGTTTATCCTTGTCAATTTTAGTTTAGGTTTTATCTAAAACTGCAGTAAATGTTGCACTTTTAAGTGTGGATATATGAAAAATATGACATAAAATTGGTTGGTTCTTGATTTTTTTTTCTATGTGTTTTACTGCTGACAAATACTGTCAAAATCAAATCCCATCTACATAAATGTAATTTGACTTTTACAGCATTTGTCTACATTGACCATTAAGTAGTTATCTTTGATCAAAGATCTTTTAACACAAACTTCCTCTTTTGAAAACTTCAAACTTTTGATCTTTGAAAACCAGAGCTGTTTTTATGAATCTGTTTTATTTAGACACAACACATACAACCCCCCGCCCCCCAAAAAAAACAGTTCAAAGTATAACATAAATAATTTCTACTGATGATTTGCTATCTTATTTTGGAAGAGGCTAGGAAGAATTGTAATAGTTTTTCATTAATTTCTTCTCCTTTTGTTTTCCATGGGAGTCTTTGAAAATTGTTTATCAATCTTATTTTATCAATAAGAATTTCTGAATTTGGTATTGATCTGAAAAAGAATAGAAAAAACTAATGTTTTCTCATTATTTCCTCTTATGTTTTACATGGGGCTTTTTTGAAAGTGTTAATTCTTAAATATTAAATGGTACATTTATGTATTGGGTATATTTTGTGTTTCCATAAGTAGAGGGGGTATGCATACATAGATGGAGATGTGTTACTTACTTGGTTTATTCCTTGGAGGTACCACTGGTGCTGAGCTCACACTGGATACACTCTCACTACTTGAAGAATCAATGATCTGACCATGTAGATAACTGAAATAGTAAGTAATTTGCTGATAAATATTTGTATATAAATGCCACTTGTTTTTAAAAGAAAAATAAATCTTGCTCCCTAAGTCATAAAAATTCCATTTCCTCTTTTAATGTTTACATTTTTTTATCGATATGAAGCAAAGATTAGTTATAAAAGTCCCAAGAATATGAAGGATAATGATTTGTGTTTAGTTAGCTTGCTATAATTTTTAAGGAATTGATGGATTTTATTTTTAGTCCAACATTATTTCCTATTACTCTAAACATTGGAGAACACATTTTTCTTTATTCAGTCTCTCAAATATGAAGGTCAGTAGATGTAATTCACTGTCTAAAAAAAAAAACAGGACATCTACTAAAACACATGTATTCACTAAAATAATGTTTAGAGCTTGCTGTAAAAAGTGAATGCTAAAAAGCTCTCAGTACTAACTACTTCTTATTTCGATGACTAAACATATTTTTTGTTTTTTTTCTCTTTTGAAGGGTTACAGAAACTTATTGTAATTCTGTTGTTTATGCCCAAGATTTATAGGCATACAAAAAGGCCAATGCTCAAAACAATCTGAGCTTTGATTTAAGTCAGATGAAAATCTAGGTATGAGAAATGAGGTCTTATAAAAATCATCTTAGGAATCTTATGTACACCATATCACAAATGATGCGGTGCAAGACACCATCAGGCAAGAAACAGGCCCATTAAAAGACCTCATATCCACCATCAAGAAGAGAAAGTTGAAATATTATGGGCATGCCATAAGAGCCAACAATCTTTCCACTGCCATCTTACAAGGCACCACCTTAGGCAAAAGAAGCAGCAATAGATGGAAGAAAAATAATGGGCTGACAATATCAGTGAACTGGAAGATCACACAGACTCAGAAATTGGCACATAACCAAGACATATATCAACCCTTCCACCACACCCAATCATGGGATTGATGATGAAAGAAATTAAAGAAATGATGTTCTAAGTGTGGTTGAACTGTAAAGGGGATATGTGGAATACTATGTTTTTGTAGCTCTTGCTCATTCTTCTTAGTCAAAGAGAGAAATTTTCAGCATTCTCTCATAGTAAATTGCATGCTACAATATATGTAAATTATTTAACTCTTCTTTTTTTTTCTCTCACAGTTCCAAGTCTAACTTGGAGTTGTAGTAAAAGCTTCAAGTGAAAGGAATAAGTCACCTCAAACAGTAACCATTAAGCAACATGACGATTTCAGAAAATTCATTTGCGAGATATTCACAAAGAAAACAGCGTCATTCTTTTTTAGCCATATAAACAAAATACAATGCGTGTGTATTATATTTCAGCAGCAATTTTCCTTTTTTAAGTTGCAATAAAAACCAATTTGTTAAATTATTTTTTTTTACCCTTCTAACTAGGTGTTTAACAGAATTGAGGTTTTGCAAATATTGTTCAAATTTTAAGTGCCTACTTATGTTTTCAACAGTGACAGAAAGTAGAAAGACGATGTCAGTAGTGGTAGTCATCAAAGGGCGATAACTCAACTATCCAATAATTATAAAACCAAGTTTTCATAAGCAAATTTTCAAAGATTATATTTGTTTTGTTAAAAAATATGTCCAGATTTTTTAAACGTATATATGTGATATGTTATACATTGGTATCGATGACGCACATTTTATTTTTCTTATTAATCGTACATAATATGTTTGTTCCTAAATTGAATGAAATTTTACTGACAGTGTTTACTAATTTATGAAAATATGGGTTAAATAAGAAAAAATAGGAAAAGATATGTTTGGCAAGTTAGAATCTTTGTGAAGGCAGCTGATAATTTATTTGACAACTTCAAGAAGAGACAATGAAAAGAAAATGGTTAATAGTATATCATGAAAAAAAATATTCACCAAATCAGTTATGCTTTTTCGAACGTATGCCGACCCAACATCCCATTCATAGTATAACTCTTTCCTACTCTATTTTATATTTAATTGTATAGAAAAAGAAATGAAAAAAAAAAATTGAAATCCTTTTTTCAATATTTCAGCAATTTTAAAGCCAAGATTTAGTACAAAGAGTGAGAGTTACTCAAAATTAACAGTTTTATGACTTTTTTTAAAGAAAATTTCTTGTAATTTTAACACTTCCTATACTGTGAACATGTCTTTATGAAATTTACATTGCCTTCTGTTACACATTTTTCAAATGAAATGTCCATCCCAAGTATTTATGTTAGAAATGTAAATAGTGCTTAGCACCATTTCTAAACCAGCATAGATATATAATGGCATACAATATGAACTGTTTTGTGATAGATTTTCATTGGGTGTGTGGGAGGGGGGCATTTAGCTTAGTCTGTACTGGAGTATCTTATTGAAACTGAAATGGTGGCACCTAAGATAAATCACTGTCAGTGTCTTTATATATATATATATATAATTGCAATATACTGAAAATATATTTTCAGTATATTGCAATTTCTTAACTTCTGCTAAATCAGGCCATTATAGCTTGGCAACAATGTAACAGTGAAAAATATTTTAATAATGCAGCCTGTGTCTTAGGAGAAAATAATTTAACAGCTGTCACAAATTAATAAAAACTACATTATACTTGGAGTGTTTTACAGTTGTGTACTGTGGTGTGTATATATATATATATATATATATATATATATATATATATATATATATATATATATATATATATATATGAAAGTGAACATAGAAGTCAACACATATTTACACACGCTCTCTGATATTGAGCACTTTATCCCATAAATATAGCATACCTTAAGACTATATTTCTTTATATATCTATATATATATATATATATATATGATTGAATAAATTACAAACATTGTCAGCTTATTTTTATCATAATCCTTTCATATTCATAAATATTACAGTTGCCTTATTTAGGCAAGAAATGCACTATAACAGTTACAGTGTATTTCTTGCCTGATTTAATTGTAATATATGGAAAAATATTTGTGAATAAGAAAGGATTGATAAAAATAAACAGATATAATGTATGCATTTTATTCAATCAGATTATATATATATATATATATATATATATATATATATATATATATATATATATATATATATATATACACATACACCACAAGTACAGTACACAACTATAAACAGTACAATGTAGTTTTCATTAATTTGTGACAGCTGTTAAATTATTCAATGCCTAAAAGAGAATTTGCTATATATATATATATATACACACACACCTGGGAGGTGAGAGAGAGAGAAAAAAAAAGGTTTAAAATGCATTTTAAAAATGCAAAAATCTTTCTTAAACCTTTAATTTTAATTCTAAGCTAATAAATTGAATATTTCCAATAAGAAAAATACTTTGGTACATTTAAAACCAAGTTTAAATTGATTTAAAAATTTAAAATTTACTAAATTAAAAATTAAATATAAAGACATATAAAATATAAATATAAATTTAAAAAATATTACTTTTAGTTTAAAATATCACAGTAAACCAATTTTTAACACATAGGTGGATATTTTTGCAAGGTGTTGACAGATTTATCGATAATTTAATGTTTGGCATTTTTAAGTAATGGGCACACAACTGTAAAAATTACTTGATGAATACAACATGAATGCCTTTTTTGTAGCATTTTTTACTATCTAGTATCATAAAATTTGAGGAAAATTTTTTTAAGTAATTTAATATTTTATTGTATTTTAGGTACTTTGGCTTTTATAGTCTTACTTACAAAAGACACTTGTTGAAGAAATGTTAGAAAATTCGCAATAAATTTTAAATTTACTATAGTTACCACTGTTGTTTTCTGATAATGTCGCTTATGAGTGTTCATATTCACATGCACACAAAAATTTAAAATTCTTTTTAAAATATTGGTAGGTCGCTGAATTGTGATAAACTTTTCCATTTATGATTAGTAAATATATTATTAAATAACAACTGTATCTTGACCGTGACAAATTAATACAGAATTTTAAAAGATTTAAAACTTTATAAATTATTCTAAATTTTAAAAAAATGAAAACAATTCTTGTAAAAATTCATTATCCACCAAAAAAAATGTAAGACAATAGTGTCCATAATATATCGTATTCATAAAAGCAATTAAAAGTTTTTCTAATTACTGTCTTAGTTTTATTGCTTTTTATTTTATGATTCAGAGCAGATCTTTTTATATATCGGGGTCTTATTTGACCAAAACATTTGATGATTTAAATTCTCTTAGAACTTGTCCTTATAACTAATATAAACATTAAGTGCCAGAAAATAGAATTTCTTGAAATTTCATAAAATTAAATGTGTGGTGGGGGTAAGATACCTCTTACCCCCACCACACATTTAATTTTATAAAAAAAAAACTTTACGAAGAGTGTCTAAAAAGGAAACATTTCAAAACTTATTTCAAATCTCATACAAAGTGAAAAAGAAAAACTATTGAATATACCAAATTAAATTTTATTCTTTTTATAATAGCTGTCTTTTTCTCAGAACACAAAAAAGGAAATTGTAAAATTAATATTTATTAAAAAGGAGAAAAAAATAATCTGTGTTACTCACTTGTCATTTCTAAATATCTGTGAGGTGCGCTTAGTTGGTGGTACAATTGTCCTAAGGTTAACTGTGTCTTCGTGTTTCCTCGGCGGTAGTGGAGGGGCTTCTGATATCCGGTCACGAGGTGGAATCGGTGGTGGCCCACCATTTATCTCTTCACTTTTCTTCATTGTAGAATCTATTTGAAAATTTTCATAAATTAACTCCTCTGTGGTATAATATTCTGAACGTCTTACTCCTGACATAGCTTTTAATGCTTGTTTTCTTTGTAAGGCACAGCGAGCAGTTTCACAATCATCATATTCTTCAGATGAAAAATCTTCACAAACATCATTGTCTGGTAATAATAATTATATAGAATAAATAAACATGAACATCCAAGCAGAGTATGTAAGGGTGTGTGTGTGTGTGTGTGTGAAAAATCAAGCATGTGGGGTGGTACAAAAGCATATGTAACAATAAACATGCATAGGGTTTGGGTGTTGATTCTAAAAATTATAAGTCTATATTTGTTAATTATCACTTTTTTTTTTTTTGCCCATAACTTTGAAAAGAATCATCAATATACCCAATACTGATTTGACAACTGAACTTCTTTGTATACTTGAACTTGTTATTCTTCATAATATAGCCAAGTCATTCTTCAGCCTAGGCCAGGTGTATTCCATAAAGTGATTGGGGGAGGTGGGGGAGTAACTTCTTTCTTCATTATGTTAACCTGATGAAGGCTGAAGAATTGATCAACCGAAATATTTTATTAGTAACAGAAAGTATACAAAGAGGAAGTTCAGTTGATTACAAAATATTGAATATATCATATATAAAAATAAATAAAATGGTCTTTGTAAATGATACAGAGAAAAGTATATTCAAAAGATGATGATATTCGTTGCCAAATTTCTTTTAATTCCAAGGTTAATCAATTACCAAAATGTTGGTGTTACTGTATGCCGCCTACAACAATATTCCTGTTGTACTATGCTGCCTACCATATAGTCAGTTACTTAAAAAAAATGTTTACATCATTGAGTTTCTTTCAATTTAACTTGGTTCCTTTTATAACATGTTGTGTTGACTGCTTTTGGGTTATTTTAACATTAGAAACTCACTATTCAGGAGTTATAGTCAACCAGACTAGCCTCGATATCCATTATTTCATGCAAAGGCATTTGTTTCTTTTTAAGGGCAGTTTTGAGTTTGGACTGAGAACATAAAACTTGCTAAAATGAAGGCCAACTAATGTTTTTGTGTGTGTGTATACATATATATATATATACATATATATAGAAAACGCTATTGTATTCATATTGTCAACTGAAAATTGGACAAAACGTGTCAGCTAATAATACAGTTTTCCTATTGTCTTTTACCTTTATACATATTGTCTTTTTTTACAGGTTAACTCTGAGAAATTTTTCATATATACTTGAATGATTTGACACCAAAGAATAAATATACTAACTTAAAAAGAACTGTCAACATTTTTTCCTTAAGAATTCTTGTGACCAACACTTCTTCAGAAGGTTTCATTGGTGTAATTGAAATGAGACATAAGACAATATTCACAATGAGAAAGGGAATTTAATTTTGGGACATGACTAAAAGCAATTTATTATTAAAAATAATTACTGAATAAAAGATAAATGTTTCAAGTGAGTATAAAAGGGAAAAGTATTACTCACACCCTCCACATAAGCTTAATGAGCTTGTAAACTGTTCTTTTTGTTTGCATCGGTTCGGTTGGTGTATTTTAACATAAAAATACATAATCTGAAATCTTCAAATGATGAGCGGACCAAGCTCTATGTAGGATAGTGAAACAATCATCTCTATATTGATGTGAACAGTCAGGGTTATCCAAAAGGTGCTGACCAATTACTGAATTATGCACTGCTTGGGTTGTCCTAGAAAACTGACTAAAGTTACCTGCTCTTGTACTTGCAGGAACTGGTTGACCGATATGGGTCTCCAGTCTCTGATTGGCCCATCCTATGTATGCAGCATCGCACTGACATTTAAATTTATATACCACAGAACTATTTTGTAAATAGGACAGACCATCCTTAAGAAAATAGGGGAACACTGAACAGGTTTAAAAAATAACATGAAATTTTACAGTTGAAAAACTTGATGTAATACACACTTTGTCAGCAAGTATCTGATTATTTCTACCTTGCGATGGTAGTTTTAAATATGTATCGGCATGTATTATTTTTTAAACCCGTTGGGTGTTCCTCTCTTTTGTTAATGTTCTGAGTGCACGTGATGAAGGGAAATGCTATAGAAAAGAAAAAAACTTGTCTTGTGAGGTTCATCACTGCTAGCAAATTCTTGACACTCACCAAAGATGAATCTGCAATATTAGTGGTTGTGACCTAGCATCTCAGCTTCAACCACTCTCCTACTTGCCAGGACATAGCTTCCCTCTGAATCTGATAAGTTTTCCCTTTTGGTACCTCACCTTCATGAATTTAAGCAAAGTATTAGGGTTGTATTTGGGTTTCATAATTTTGCTGTTTATATTGCTAGATGCAACCGTAAATGGTATGCTAAATTTCTTCTCTGGCGACTGCCACACTTTTTGATATCTTTTCTGGTTTCTTGTATCTCTGTCAACTATGACCGTCAAAAATTTAAATGCAAGATCACCATGTCTCTCAGAAACCTGTTCTTTTATTGTCCTCTGTCCTCCCTAACACTTGCTCAGTTTCTTTCATTGTAAATAATATACTACTTCTTAGTGCCCTTATTGCCTTGCTTGTGTAGAAATGAGTAAAACACATATTTCTACTTCATACATTTTCCCCCCATTTACCTACAGCAAAAAATCCGCTACTTTAATCTGATTAAATTTACCAATATTTTAAGTTTCAAAACTGTTTCTTTGTATATCATTTCATGGATAAATTCTGATGGTGACTCTTGTTAGTCTCACTTTTCCTGTTATGCTAGATACTGTTGTCACAAGTCTTTTCTTCATCGGTGATGAGATTGTCCAGCATTCACTGCCATAGAGCAGGACTCATATTACAGAGCAGTAGAGCAATCTTTTTCTTTTTTTTGTTTCTGTTACCTCAAGTCTCCTCTTCGTCTGTGAGGAAATTGTCTAGAATTTACTGCAATAGGGAAGGAATGATATTTCATTGCATTTCAGCACTCTTTTTTTTTTTTTTTTGTTTCTTTTGTCTCATGTCCCCTCACTTTGTCTGTGGGGAAATTGTGTAGAATTCACTGCCATAGAGAAGGGCTGATATTACACAGCATTTAGGCACTCTTTTCTTTGTTATGTTGTCTCAAGTTCCCTCTTAGCCTGTTAAGAAATTTTCCAGAATTTTCACTGCCACCGAGATGAAGTGATATTACATAGCATTTAAGCACTCTCAAAGTTCAAATAAACTAAAGTATACAGACAATTCCTTATCTCAAAAATAAAAACGAAATTAATATTTCTTTCAGGGTTGCCATGTTGATCTACAAGCAGCAAATTGGGCTACACTTGAAAGTCTGCATGACTAAATTTTAAATTTCCTTCTCATTTGTTGTCCCTGTTAACCCAGTTTGTTTTAAGAATAACCCCAAATGTCACAAGTTGTAAAATTCAAAATCTTCAGACTTTCAAAAGTAACCCAGTCTAGCAAAACTTCTTTGATAGCACCCAAAACCAAATAAATATAGCAAAAGCATAACACAAGACATGCATAAACAAATAGATAAACAAAATAATAATAATGTGTGTGGTAGTTATAATACGTAAGGTTGTTGCGAAATGTACAGTGAAAGAAAGGGCATTCATATTTCTAGAAGTAATACAGGACTAAAATTATCTAATCATTATCAGCTATATTGGGATAATTTAAATTCAAAATAACAGAATGTGTTGATTATCTTAGAGATAGGAAGGAGGTAAAGAAAGATTTTTTAATATTAAAACAGGAATCTGCTGTAATGTGATGGTTAACACACAACACCAAAAAAGCTACAAGAGACAACCAATATCTTCTCAGGAAATATTAAAATAATAGTCATCTTTTATAAACCAGAGAAAGAATTTTGTTTTAATCATCTTCTTTTATAATTAGGATAAATATTAACATATTGTGAAGATCTTTGGTCTAAGTTAACACTGGCACATAACAACATAGTCAAAGTCAGTAACAATGTCTTGCCAAACTGTATAAATTAATTCATGGTAGACATTCTAGTAATAAAAACCAATCATAAAAACAAAAGCTTTAATCAAGCTTCTAGAAAAAAAAATTATCATCCTGGAACAGTTCCTAAATCAAAATGTTTTAACTTTGTTGTCATTTATTATATAAATAATAAAAAAATACCATTAAAATGTTTAGGAAATAAATTAAAAAGTTAATTATTTAAGTTTTAAAAGTGAATAAATGCAAAAACCAGTTAAATTTTACTGTAATTTTTATTTAAAAAAAAATCTTTTTTTAAAAATTTTAGTTAAATCAACTGAAATAATTTTACACAGAAAAGTTCTTAATTAAATTTAGATTTTTTTATACTTTAAGAAAAAAAAAATTTTCTTGCTTTGTTTATGAAAGCAAAACTAGTTCTTTCAATGAGATCCTAATGTTGTTCACATTTAGAGATAATGAAAAATCCTTAATTTTTATTTGTTTTATTCCTCAGTTTAAAAAAAACAAAACAAAAAAAAACACATTAAGTTTTGTTTATTTTTTTAGTGTGAACATGTGCATACTCCATTTATTAAAAGCCTATTGATGAAAAGTAATTTTTTAAAGAAATTAATTGCTTTTAGAATAAATACAATTAAAAATTTTATCAACATAAAAAAAATAACCAGTTGTTCCAAACTGATGATATTTTATCATTCTCAGGACAACATTAATTTTCAGCCTTGGCTCAAATAAAAGATTAACATTAATTTTCAGCCTTGGCTCAAATGAAACTAACTCAAAGAAAATAATTCCTATCCACAGGATGCTGTCAAATAAGATCTATGCAGAAAATTACCCCATGATCTTCAGTTTTATTTTTGTGAATGTATTTAAATAAAGTCAGCAAATCCAAACAATGCTTTGTATAATGCCCTTTTTAGGTAGTAGTTGAATTTAAAAGTAGGTGAACTTTTGAACAGTCTGACAAATATGCAAACTAGAGGATCACATATGAATTTGGATGTGCAAAG